CATTATTCTGGTAATATTATGACTTTATACTAAATGCAGTATGACTTTAATCTAATAATATTTCAAGTTTATCCTCATAATATTATACTTTTATTTTTAAAGTATTACTTTATTCTGGTGTGTTTTTGACTTTGTTCTCATGAGTTATTCTCTTAAAATTGACTTTATTCCCATAATAATGTTACTTTATTCTCTGAATTTTATTTATTTATTTTTTTCCTGGCACTAGTACGGTAGGGTTAGTAGTACTGTAGGGTTAGTACTACTAACCCTACCAAATTCTCTAAACCTAACTCTGAAAAAGTAGAATTTGCTGCATTAAACCTGTATCACTGCAGCGAGGTTCAGTCCAGGACTTTGTAGTTAAATAGTGATGACTATTTAATCAGCTTGTCTGCTGATTTACACTGCAGACAAACACCCAAACACAACCTGCGTGTATGACTTCTGCTTCCCTGTCATCAAACCTCAGCCAGCCTCCTGGCTCCTCTGAATTACTTTTCTCCTCTCCTCTTTTGGATAGCAGAGCAGAAACACTGAGACCCACCTGCACAACAACAGATCTGGAACCAATCTGTACAAAGCAACAAACAGCCAGCACAAAAGTTTACAAGCACAGAAATAGATACTTGCAAATGCAGAGGGTTTTCTGATTTACACTGCAGACGAGCAGCTTGTTGTGTGTTTGTTTTTGTTTTGTTTTTTGCTAGTCTTTATTTGGATTATCTGGCTACACTGGCTGCCAGTTTATTTTCTGGTACCTTAGAAAAAACATCCAAACCTCTGACTGTTGGCTCCAGGAATCAAGCTGAAGATAAATTAGACATTTTGCTGCTCTGTTATCGTCCAATGTCTTCCAGCATGTTTCAGGCTTCAGGCCAGGATTCATAATTTGCATGGCATGAATGTTTCAAGAAGGAGCTAAATTCATTTTTACCACTTAAAGGAAAATTTTAAGATACATGGACAATGAAAAATGAAGGGGAAGAAATACACCGTCTAAATTTGAAGTTGCTGCTGATTTTCTGGAGGGTGTTTCAGTTGGTAAAACTTTATAAGAATAAGAAAATACTTATTCTCACTATGTATTCTGCCCACAAAAAAACTATTTTTATTATTTTCTATCAAAGTTGTACATCGAGACAATCATTATATAGGATTTTTTATATATAATGACGCATTTTAAAACATTAGATTTTATGTTTTTATTTTAAAATTTTTAATTTGAAATGAGCGTTTAGCAGCTATCGCTAGGAGATAAATTCAGGGGTAGTATCTATCATTATAAAATGAAAGTTTCTTGTTATGAAAAGATGTAAAACTCAACAATATTTATTTCTCATTAAAACAAGAATATTTCAGAGTCGTCTAGAAGAAACAAGGATGAGAAGATGGAGAGAAGGAGTCCCAATCCGGCGTTTCAGAAAGCAATAATCTGCCAGACTAACTTATTTTTGAGAAATGTTTTTCTCGATGCTAGCCAGGCTAAAGCTAGCTGTGCGCCAGAGGTCGGGCGCTGGAAACGACTACTGTTGTGCTAAAGCTGTGCTAAAAGGAGTTAGCTTATCAGCAAAGCTATTAAACCGTAAAATAGCATCTCAATGCTAAACACTTTGCAGCTGCACAATCCTCAATATTTCTAAAATACTATCTTTTAAAAGATGTTACATGAATTATCAGAAGTTTCTGAAGCACCAGTTCAATAACCTCATCCACAGATACAAATGATGCATAGTTTTCATCAAGCTCATTATGTCTATTTATTCAATAATTTAGCAGCAAAGAAGGTTTTTTTAAAATGTTGCTCAATTTATTTAATTAATTAATTTAACACAATAAAAATTTTAATCAAGTTAAACTGATTTTTTCGTGTTGGCCTTTATTAAGGTCCTTTGGTGAAGTATTGTCAATAATGTCTTCCAATAACATAATTATATAATCATATTTTAAAATTTCTTAACGACTTTGAACATTTATAGCAGTACAAAATGGTGGGCCACTGCCCTACACCTGCACAGGGGTTAGAAAATTTTATGGGTGGAAACATGAAATCAGGGCTGCAGCTAATGATTATTTTAGTAATTGATTATTAATTGATAATTAATTGATTAATTACGATTAACTGTTTCAGTCCAACCTGAAAAATAAACCTGGAAGCGGCTACAAGGGCATGTGATTACAAATATATATATATTTTCACACATTGCTTTGTTCTCTCATCAAAGAGTTCAGTGGATTTAATTAAGCCAACCAACAACAGGAACTAATGCACTGCGAAAAAGATGAAAAGAGAAAAAACTATAGTAAAGCAAGACTCCAAAAGGACCGCAAATTTAACTTGATGCACAGCAAAGAAAGAAAGAGATTCTGAAATGGAAATGAATAAACTCTGCCCCCATGTGTGTCATAAATATCAGCTATTCGTTGTTTGCAGCAAAGCAATGTAGTAATTGCTGAACTGAAGCCAAGGTGATATTTCAATACGAGCCTCCACTGGTGTGTCAAGAAAAGAAACTGCGGAGTGAATTCACTGAAAAGATGATTAGCAATAAAAAGAGAGCTCTGGTGAAAGTTGGAAAAGTTAAAAAGCTTTTAGCATTCTCAAGGTTAATCTCAGCATTATTCATATTCAAAAAATGGAGCCAGGTTGCATTTATACAGTTCTCTTTTCATTCACTCAAAGCATTTCTTAAAATAAAAAAGCAACATCTATTCATTTACAGATTTTCATATTGCTGTCTGTCACAGCACCAATTCTTGAGCCAATGTTCTCGTCTGAGTGCAAGGACACTTGTTTCCTCCTCATGAAATATGGAGAAGGCTTAGTTTATTTAGGCTTCATTGTCAACATCAACCATTAGCTGATTCTTCTGCAGGGAACCTTTGATTCTCACGGATTGTGAAGCTTAGCTGATGCAAACGGCAAGACGAAAAACCTGACTGATTGTTGACAGCAGCTGGCAACTCATTTTAAAACATAACTGAAGTCTAGGATTGAACCTCATTCAATAGAAATATAGAGTGAAATTAAATGTTAAAACTCATAAATGCCAGTAATGATTGAAATGATTGCACAACCTCTGAAAAAACTGTGTTTTTTACATTCTGAAATATGTATAATTAAATGTTTACCACCACTGCATCTGGCTGTCAGAATGATGTTCTTTTTTTGAAGTACTTTATTGAATTTTACATCCTGTTCTTTTCAAGCTGATCAGATAAACAACACAAACTTTCATAAAATATCCAATTTTGTTTCAGTCCACATAACATTTTTTGGAAAGTCTTGTAAATCATTAAGACGTTTTTGAATCATGTGAGACAAACCTTTGAGTAGTTTTGGGTCAGCAGTGGTTTTGACCTGGAGACTCTCTCATGTTTGAATCAGACTCTCTCTCTTATTGTTTAATAATAACTGGCATTTATCATATTGTTTATTATTTATGGTGATAAAGATTAAGACTTTTGATTTACCATTGATTTATGTTTTTAGAAAATGTTTGGATTATTAGGTTTACTATTTACACTTTGTTCAATTAAAGCCAGAAATATTGCAGGGAATCTACAAGGCAGAATTCATATTTTGCATATTTCTGTTCTTCCCTTTTGGTCTCTCTCTCGTTGGTCTGGGTATCAATTCAGATTTCCAAAATGTATTTGATTCGACTCACAATTCAGTTTGACTGAGTTTCGATTCAGTTAATTATATTACGCTGTCACAGTTTTACTTGGATATGGAAGATATTCTCAGAAGAGCTGAATAATGTTGTAAATAACAGAAACTAATGGTAACTTGGTGAATCAGTGAAAATATGAATACTTACATTAAGAATTTATCACAATGCAATTACATCATGTACTTTTTATTTAGCATGACCTTCCTAAAACAAAAATGCAATAATTTAAATAAATGTGATAATTTAAACAACTATTTGTTAATTAAATATTTGTTTGTGGGGCTGATTGCTTTGCCATCCTGACACAAGCACAGAGTTATCTAAAAAAAGGTAGCAATAAATAGTTCTTATCACTTTTATCATTATCACAAAATATTGTGATAAAACTTTAAATACATAGACCAGTCATATCCCGGAGTCCCAATAAATGAGTTTGTAATATTTTCAGAAAGTATTTAAGTTATAAAATCTGAAAGCCAGATGATAACCAGGCTGGTCAAATTAGCATTAGCATGTAAAATGCCGGTTCATAACACTTGGAATATATTGGTCAACAAGTATTTGTCTATAAACTGTCTTTTACTACATAAATATTGCAAACACGCATATATTCGGGTATATATTTGCGATGTGCCGTGCAGCGGTACCTGGTTACCATGGTAATGGATCTAGGTGAGACATTATCCTCCCCAACCGGAAGTAATCCTCCTCTAAGACACTAATCCTGCTTGGTTGCTATAGTTGGAAAAACTTTACGCGGTGTCTCAATAATTGTCTGTTTGGGTTATAATATACTGGAAAGAGAAAAGCACTGGAGGAGGAATGAGCTGTTTGTCTTTATATCTACTCTGAGGATAATTGATCTCTCCACGCTGAATGAAGGCGTTCGTCCTGTGGCAGAAAATTTTACCCAGTTCCTCGTTCTGCGTTTATTTATTCCTGCAATGATTATTCTTTGAAGGCTCTGCAGCTTTCAAAAGGTGCCAATATTCACAGCTTTTAAGTCCGAGATACATTTGTTCAAATAAATCAGTATAAAACTTGACTCTGTTAAGCTTCCAGTAAACAAACACAAATTATATCAAAACAGGAGGATTTTTTAAACCCTCATAAACGACCAATAACTACAGAGCTTCTCCTAAAATACCACCTGGACACGTTTTGTACTGATGGTGAAACAAATGAGCCACATTTTTACATCCACCGGCCCAACAGACAACAATCACCGACTCTGAAAGTCAAACCTCTATAATACTCACTTTCTTCTCCTCCAGAGTGATTAATAACGCCGCTAAAACGACAATAACCTCCGTGTTTTCATACCTGTTACTTGTCCCGACCCTTCACGCTGTCAGCAGCATCCTTCAGGGCGCAGCCATCTTGGATTAAAGCGGACTGCCTGCTGCTCCGTGGTCACAGCGCTGCTCCCTGCCGGCACGGAGGAGCAACTGCAGCAAACTGGATTTGTTCTGTTTGAAGAGGCCTGCAGCTATAAGGGAACGACTTAGAATGGTATTTATTCGTAAAAATGTCTTTTTACAGTGAAGCATGAGCAAATATAGTACTTTTAATGTTCAGATGGACAAAGACATACTCAAACCGACAAAGCAAATCAGGGGCTTGAATACAAATGTACATCAATTCCAGGGTTGTGAATGCTTTGGCATAGCAATGTACAGTGCTTATTAAAGTATTCACACTCTTCTATGCTTTATTAATTTTATAGCGTTTACAAATCAAAGCTAAGACTGCTAAATTTGCCTTTTTTTTTAAACAAAACTACTGATTTCCACAAGATGAAGAAAATTAAATAAAAATTTTAAATATGACATAAGTGATTGCATCAATATTCATCGCCTTCAAATCAGTAATCATTGGAGGTACCTCTGGTTGCAATTAAAGCAGTCACCGTTTCTGTGTGACTTTAGATGGACGCTGGTTGTCTCACTTGCAAATGGACACAAGTTGTCCTCCAGGATTTAACCTTAACATTTAAAGGGTTTTTGTGATTTATTTTGCTAAAAAAATGCAGCATTTTGTTGATCATGACTGATTTGTAAAAGTAATTAAAAAAAGCTTGAATCATTTTGACAAGCACTGTTTCTTTTTAAAATGGTCACAAAGTTTCTCATTCAAACCAAAAGCATATGAACCAGATGTAGCATAAAACCATAATGATTTAAATAAAACACTGAAATTAGATTTTTTTTCAAGAAAATCTAAAGCTTTTATATAATCTACAGAAACTGATTTTCACAACAGAAGAGAACATTTTCTGAAAAAATGAAAACAAACATGTAACGTGATCTTAGAGCGACACAATGTCACTCATAATAAATTAATGCTAGAAACATAAATACCTCCAATCCATTTATATTTTATGTGGTTTTGAGCAGTGCTGCTTGAAATCTAATAATGCATCTTCACTCAAAAGACACACCCACACAACACTGCTAGTTTCTACATTTCTAAGTGACACTCCCTCACAGGCAGAACCAGCCAGATTGGGTGCAAAGTTCCTAGAAAACATTGAGTTGTTTTTGTTCTTGCAGCAAACACTCCCTTTATATTCCCAGAATTATGTAGACAAAGAATGCTGCAGCAATGTCTAAAGATAGTCAACTAGAAGAGTTCAAAGAGCTGAAAAGACATGAATGCAGTGGCTTGTCGGAAATATTGCCAAAAAAAAGTTATTTTTTTAGATTTTCTTTTTCTTTTATACAGTCAATTTTAACTGGGGGGTGGTATCTGCTCATATTTAATTACATTTAAGTAATTAATTTAATTAAATATGAAGTAATTAAGTCACCCAGGTAAAAGTTTAAAATACAACAATAAAACTCTCCTAAAAGCTTTTTTTTAGTTACTAGGTAAATATAGTAACAAACACTGGTGTAGAACCCATATTTTTAACCAGATAAGTCTGTAAGTCTCATTTTTGTTTTTTTATTAAGTGTTTTCTTCGCTGCTCTTTTTGACACCTGGTCATTATGGAAACAACATCCATGGACGCCCTGAAGCCTTCTGCACATCAGCAGAAGCTTTCTCCAGGACTACTTGCTAAGTGACTGATTCGGGTGTGATGTCCCTCGCAGCAGCATTCTTACGAGTGAAGCTGTTGTGATGCAAAGTGAAGACGATGGTTTTGTTTCTCCCTTAAGTAACCATGACAGCCGACAAAGATGGCGGCAGCGACTGGAGAGGCCTGTTTGATTCCTGTTGCTTCCAGGGGACAATCAGGAAGTTGGAGTGGCGTAAAGTCTGTGTGCACACAGCTGTGGAGCCCAGGAGGAGTCACAAAGGAGTTATGGTTTTCTTCTTCTGTGGTTTTTGAAGGATTTTTAAGGTTGAAAGAAGCAACTATTTGTTTGCAGAGTTACTGGAGTAGAGGAACAAAACCTTTGTAAGTAAATAAATAATAAAAATCATAATTACATGAAATGTTGAATGTGTTAAAATTTATGTAATTAATAAGAATTAACATGTTAATGTCATGACCATAACTAAAACAAAATTCTAAAACATTTCCAACAAATATGAATTGATGGTTAAAAAAACTAAAATCACTAAAAAAATAAATATTTTTGTGTTGTATTTGTTGCTCCCTTGGAAAAGAGGATGTGAATCTCAATGGGGTTTTATGAAATAAATGTTAAATAAATGAGGAAAAACATAAATAGCCAATATTTTATCAATACGTATTTTATTTTGAATACATTTTCAAGTTTTACATATTTACTTCAAGTTTTGTGAGAGGCAGCAAGATTTTCAAAAATACCTGAATCAGATTCCTTTTGTAAGCAAGCAAACACCTTTAGCACAAAGTGCTTAAAGTGGCAAACCATTTTAGAAAACAAAATATGTGTGACGACACCTGGAAAACAGAAACAGAGGTAAACTTTTTCCTCCCTGAGATCGTCAGTTACCAGAAGATTCTGACTCACAGATAAAGTTCCTGATTTCAGGCATTAACAAGAAGAAACTAACATTCACATTGTGTCTGCGGTACAAAATAATCACACACAAAATGGAAACTTCTTTCACATTTATGCACACATGACCCCAAACATTAAGGCAATTAATTATTACAAAAATTATTATTTTTTAAAAATGGTTGCACATTAAAATAAAGGCAGGTTTCACAGCTTAGTTGGTGTGGTTGGTCACTTTGTAAAGAATCGCAGCAGTGATCTGCAGCGAGGGATCGCTTGGCAGAAACTCCCTCAACAGGAACGCGAGTAGCATCTGTTGAAAAACACAGGCAGACATGTTTTACAGTGAAAAGAGACGGAGGGAAGCAGACAGGATGAGATACTCACACAGATCAGAGTTTTGTTTTCCTCTTTGTTCTGGAAGATATTAAAAACCGACTCCACGTCCGTCTTCTTCAGGACAAGATAGTTTGAATCTGCAGAGAGGAGACAGGAGTCAGGTTTTCCCCCAAAGCAACGCGAAGGCGTCTGAATGGAGAGCGGGAAGAGACGGGCTACATCGAGCGTTGATGAGGTCGTGCGCTCGCTCTCGGGTTTCCTTCCTCTCCTCGTCGGTGCGAGGAAGAGGAGCGGTGACCCGCTGGGTCTCCGACCACAGCTTGCTGCGCAGAGCGTCGATGTAGGCCGCCATCTGCTCCTCCGTCGGGTTCAACTTGTTCAGGAAAGAGTTAATCTTCCTGCAAAGAAACAGAAAAAAATAATAACACTGCAATAAACACAAAATTTCACAAAGTAAATTTGGTCTCATATATATATATATATATATATATATATATATATATATATATATATATATATTAGTACACTTGAAATTACACAAAACTAACAAGTAACTATTCAGCAACATTTATGGGCTCGTTTTAAATTAATACTTTGTTAATATTGATGAAAAAGTGCTGGCAGATGATTTCATTTGTATCATGGGAAAAATATCCTGATTAAAGTTAAATAATCTTTCAATTGAACTGGTACTTTTCATCAATATCAAGGACTTATTAGCTTAAAACAAGCTCCTATATCTTACTGAAACTCTTGTGACTTGTAAGTTAATTTTGTCTCATTTCAAGTGTGGTTAAAAAAACTACATAAAAATTACTTGGTAAAATAATTTCTTTCATAATTTGATGAGAGATTGTATTTGTTTGCATGTTGTTTTTTAACTTAATATACTGCAAAAACAAATTTTACCAAATAATTTTGGTCTTCTTTCCAGTGAAAGAACATAAATTGTTGACTTACTTCTTCAAAATGGGCATCACAGGTTTTAATATGGCGTCAAAAATGTTTATCAGGATGGAGTTTCCTGTGAAAGAAGAAAGGTGACGCTTATGAAATTATAAAACTGCAGTCATGAGAATAAAAATCAAACCTTTTCCAATCAGGAAATATCAATATTGCTTTTACTGAACTCAAATTAGATAAACATCCAGAAAATATGAAGCCAAAGTGGAAAAGATGTTACCTCCTTTGATTTAACGGATTGAAAAAACACCTTTAGCATCAACAACTTAAACAGATGCAACCAATTAAAAGATCAATGATCTTTCTCGCTCATTTCATAAAATGAAACTAAACAGGCATATAAGATGTGGGTAGGAGCAAGTAGACCGAGATGGGACTCTCCTAGATTATGAAAAATTTACCAGTGCAAAGTTTAAATATGCCGTTCGATACATTTCCAAATGTGAGCAGAACAACAGATAATCAATTTGGTTTCAAAGCCAAGCTGGGAACTGATTGATCCCTTTAAGGCATTTGATCGTGTCAATCACTATAAGTTATTTGACAAATTAAATCATCACAAAAATAATTGTTTGTACAAACAATTATTTTTATACAAATTTTAGTTTACTGGTACTCTGACCAGAAATGCATGTAAAATGGGGAAATAACATCTCTGCTTCCTTTGGAGAGAGTAAGTGGCCTCTGACAGGCAAGTATTTCGGATCACTGCAGCCACATCTATTTCCACGACAAACAGCCACAGTGTGAGTTAATTATAAAATTAATTTAACAGTGAAATTTTCCTGAGGTTGAAAATTCATCACACAACTTATTTATTTGCTGAGACTACATTATGAAAACATGTTTCTGTAGCTGCTGCTTTCATTTTATATTTTACCGACTGCATGATTTCTGTCCTCACCTCGTACTGCGAGAAGTTTTTAGTTTTAACAGTGTTTTTATAATACATTATTTTTCCAGGCAACCAGCTGTCAGCTCTCAATTTCCTCTGAAAATGAAAGCGCTGCCCAGGCCTCATGAAAACAAACCGCACTAAAAATAACACGTGTTGATTAATGAAGAGTCTGTTTTCTCTGCAGGATTCCTGAGGCAACGTTTCCTGAGGCTTCAGGTCCTTACAGGCAGAGTCCAGTAGTAACTAGTTACATTTCCTCAATTACACTTACACGAGTAAAA